TTGAGGGGCACCAGCAAAGTAACGAGTAGTACAGAAAGGCTCTGGAGGTGAGCCCTGTCGTGCGATGCCGGCTGGGTCCTATGGACGTGCATCTTGTCACTGGCGCCAGCAACGTCTCAGCTCTCTTCCGATCATCCTTCACTTCAGACCCTTGGATTGTGCGCATCCTCCAGCATAGCGCAGGGTACACGCCTACAGACGTGGCTAAGTTCTCCAAAGATGTGTCCGGAGGTTCGAGTCTGCCGCGTAACGAAAGCGCTGGGGTACCACCACCAGAAAGGCGCATCTGGTACGCAATGCATCGCGCCTATGACGAAAACATGCTAGGTTCTGGCCCTGTCATGGCTTTCGCAACTTCATTCCAAGCCTTTTTTAGTCAGCATCTTGCCAAATTTCCAGCCTGCGAGTGGGTTGAAGACGTCCGAATTTTTGACTTTTTTAAGCAAAATATGACAGTGGCAGCAACACAAGCGGTACTGGGACCCAGAATGATTGACGTTAACCCAGGTTTCGTAGAGGCCTTTTGGCAGTACGAGAAGGCCGTCGAACCACTCGCATTCGGGCTGCCGAGCTGGCTGCACAGACGAGGTGTGCGGGCCCGAAACCGGTTGCGTGCCATGTGTCTGAAGTGGTACGAGATTGCTGATCAAGAGTTCGATTGGGAAAATCTTGGACCACACCATGACGCAGACTGGGAACCTATCTTTGGATCGCGTATTTCTAAAGGATTGGCTCGATGGGGAAAATCATTTGAGTTCTCGGCTGAGAGCATGGGCGCGGTCTATTCCTTATTTCTCTTCGGGTAGGGCTAGACATCCTATTGTTGTAAAGTTGCTAATCGGTGTAGACTTCATGCCAACACGATCCCCATCTGCACTTGGGTCATTATGCACTTGATTATGAACCCTGACTTGTTCAGAGATATCAAAGAAGAAATTTCGAAAGCCGAGGTCACTGACAGTCCTACTGGCCAAAGTTTAAACTATCAAAAATTGGCATCCTTGCCCCTACTACAGTCCGTCTACACCGAAACTCTGCGTCTACATGTCGGCGTCCTCATCACGCGAAAATCCACTGAGTCTATTACACTCGGCGAATATACTTTCCCCGAAGGATCTGTTTTTCAGGCTCCTACTGCAGTTTCCCATCTTGATGAGTCTATTTGTATGTCTGATTTTATTGATTATACACCGTGGACTAATGCGAATACCCTTTCTTTATCTTCACTACAAATTAAACGAAGACTGACCACATGAACCTCTGCAGGGGGTACACCTAACCATCCAGCCTCCGAGTTCTGGGGTTACCGGCATGTTAAAGTGGTAGAAACAAGAGACAATAAGGGGGATATCACAAAATCGCTAAGCTTCTCCCTTACGGGCCGCACGGGGTCCTTTTTCCCATACGGTACGTCTTACTTCCACGGCGAGTATTGCCCAGTATATTTAATAAATGGATACCAATACTTATTTTCTCGTTCTTTAATAAACAGGTGGCGGATTAAGCATGTGTGCAGGTCGAAACTTCGCAAAGCCAGAAGTGCTACTCGCAGTTGCTATGGTGGTTTCAAGGTTCGAGATTGAATTCATGGAGTGGCAAAAATTTGACGGATCTTGGTCGAAGCAACCTGCCTCGGATGATATGGAATATGCGAACTCAGTGGCAGCACCCCCTGATAGAGATATGAAGGTTAGGTGGCGAAGAACTTGTTGAAATGGAAATGTTGAAACATAAGGGTGTATTCCTTATGATGGGAAAGGCATAAATTGTAGTATTACTGAGCTTTTACCTTTTCAACAGTTCTGAGTCGTATAAATGCAACGGGTAAGTCCGTCGCTTTCTACTGTGCTGTTATGATGGTTAAAGCTCGTTCTTACGAATAGCGATACAATAGATAGTTAGTCTAGAAGGAACATCTCACTTTTTGTTTTACAATGTGAAAATTGTCCTCGGGTAAACTACCTAGTTGTTATTATCGATCAAGAAAACGAGCCCTCTGTCTAGACACACGGTAGTAATGGCCTATCGACAACTACCTAAAACAAAGGACCTCTGAAAATACACCAACAACACAACTTCATGTTAAAGAAAAGAGTCATACCCACTAGACACCAAAATTGAGTATCAGTTGCCAAAGAAACCATCTGTCGCATCCTCGCACCATCTTGCATCGCGGTCTGGAGTCGTAGTCGGTTGTCCTTGAAGCTCAACCTTGATGTTGCGTTTAGGTTTTTTCTTGGTGATCTTGGCATTGGCAAGCGGGTTGTTCGGAATCGCCTTTCGCACGAGTTCTGCCTTCCACTCCTGGGTCTGTTCTTGGTCATTCAACCCAAGAGCATCCAACCAACCTGTGGTTCCCAGTTGCCATTTGTCGATCAGGCGGATGATCACAACTGCCGCACATTTTGGGTCGATTTGGAGGAGCTCTGCTGCGCCGGTGCGCCATTGCTCAAGGTGCTTGAGTAAGAGTGTGTCTTGGTTGCCGGTGCAGATGCATGTCATGGTGTTGTGGTGGATGCGCGGAGCTACCGGAAGCCCTAGGAGGTCAAGCTCAATAGTACACCCCCAGGGCAGAATGGCCGCGTTAGGGATGTGTTTGCAGTACTGTGACATAGCTGATGATGATGATGGCGACGATGATGTTTCCGAGCCTGTTGAAGAATATGTGGTTTACTTACCTCAAAAGCGTTTATACATTACCTCTAGGCAGTTGCGATGGTCAATAAGATCGACCGCGTCAATGCGTGTTGCTGAGGTATCGACTCACTTTAAAATGCTTTAAAATGTCTTCCAACGTCGCTAGGGGGATGACTTTGATTTTGCAAGAGAGTTCTTAGGTGTGAATGCAAGCGACAAAGAACTGACATAGCATTGTGAATGTGTTTCATACCATGCATTGTCTCCCCTGAATTTACTTTCAGACCTTCTAATTTATCACACAAATGATGCCTACGTGGCATGAAAGCCTCTAAGACTAGAAGTTTTAAGATCCGAAAATGACGTTCCTTATACCACGTCCTACCTTTTAGTTTGTAACCCAATTTATTCATCATAACAAAGATCGCAAGGTTATTTAATATTCATTTTATTTGTTATACTCCCCGGATCTCTTCAACTTCCCTGTCGCTTTAACAGTCGCTAGACTACATAGGGTTAGGCACGGTAAGCACCAGATGGCAGGCTGTCCTTAAGCTATTTGTTAGTTCTCATGCTTCGAGGGGCAGATGTATCGAACTGTAACACGCGACTTAGCAACAATCCCAGGGCGCGCTACTCTCCACTGGCTGATCTTTCTCTTCATCAAAAATGTCTAGGGTCAAGAAACCGAAGGGGGCCCCGTTCTAAAGAAAGCTGATCGACGACGACGAAGAGATCTTCGGGTAGTCTTTTTAGTCGTAGATTCTGCTTCATGTGCGTCTCACTGACAGATTTGGGAACGACTGGAATTCCTCTCTGCTCGGCCCAAGATAGACAAACCTGTGGTGTAATAGATTTTAGATGTTTGGCACCTGGTATGTATATGAAATTGAGTAAAAGAAGGGGAGACTACCTGTGCGGGGGTCATGTTACACTTGGATGCGATGTCTATGATCTTAATAACGGTTAGTAAGAGCTATATTCATCAAAGTAGGAGTCAGTTGTCTCATTGTCTCGTAGGCATACTTTTTGGTCTTCTGTTGGGAACGGCTTGTCAGGATTTCCTCGAACAAGGGGTACCGGCCGGCCACCGAGGGGTTGGTGGGCCATGACGAGGATACCATGCTGAGCCGAGAACAGGTAGAGCTCGTGCTGTGTGAGATATCTATAAATAAGATATTATTAGAAATATAACTTAGAGGTAGCTAGAAATTCAGGTAATAAAAATATATCTTAATTGTGTGCGGTAGTCAATAAATTGTACTCCTAGAATATCGTTCCGTGAGCTTCCAAATTAGTTCACGTAGCTAAGGGGAGTTAGCCGCCAGTAGGGCTGATCGCTACATCTGCAGAAACGTTTCCTGGTGCTAGATTGAACCTCCTATACAAGTATTTAGTCGCCTAGGTAGCTAGTCGGATCATAGACTATACCCTCATCAGTGCTCTCGTCGACAATTCCGGCGTTGCCGTACCAAAGGTCACCATGCACTAAGGACGGTAGTATCCTGCGCCCATCACTCTCCAGCAGCCGTAGAAGCCGGGGTATAACCCTATCAAACAGAGGAGAGAGAAGTCTGTCTAGCTCGACGTTAGGTCCGGCTCTCTCCTCACGAATCTTCAGCACGTGGCGGAGGCCGTTTGTAAAGAATGCTTCCTAGCTGTCGGACTAAGAGTTATCCTGCGGCAGGTTGACATTGTATGTTGTGCAGTGGAACCCAAACTTTCCGTTGGGGGAGGTGTGGTTAGAATGAAGTCGCGCTAGTTTCTCGCAGAATGGCCTAGGTTGGGGAACAGCTTTGGTGAAGAATTTACAAATATAAAAGTGCGATGTTAGATCGCTGGCGAAGGTACCGCAGGCAATGGGCTTGGGGCAGAAGTCGGGAGTGATGCTATAGATGGCCGACGTGGACTCGAATTCGCCTTTGAGTGCCTCACGACCATGGTGACCAACCGAAACCTTCATGAAGTAGTCTTCCTCTCTTCCATCTTTGTGTAGCACTCTAACCCTAGTCGCTCTCGCCCACGCCGACTCTCCATGGTATTTCGTCTCGAGGATCTTTGCGACATCTGGAAGAGCTGCAACCTCTTAGCGAGAGAAAAAAAAACCAGTGAGGGGAAATAAATCGCATTGACTCTACCTACCAGCTACGATGTTATGGTCTATTAGGCCCGCGGGATCCATGGCTGATTTGCACATTTGTAAGAGAACCCCCTAAATCTCGCCCCCACCTTTTGGAAAATAAATGCAATTATTTAGTTAAAAGTTCACTTATTTAATGGCAATTGGAAATATGCGCATTAAATCTAATAGAAGAAAAAAGTATTATAAATTTTTATAAAATTAACTAAATAACCAAAAACATTGGACGAGCAGGGAGTCGAACCCTGGGCTTCTCGCAGACATTAGAGAAATGCAAAGCGAGCACTCTACCACTGAGTTACACGCCCATTAACCAAAATATATACATGAAATGCTTATAACCGGTTACCAAATGAGCTAATTAGTGGACGAGTTTGTCCGCAATTCACCCTTCCTATTGTCCGTGCTTTTACTGAGATGTACTGTGTCCTAATGTTTCGAGAAATGGTGCTATTACATTTAACGACAGCACAGTTACTCTTAAAAGCTTCAAATTTCGATGATGAAACCATTGTGCAAATTATTATTTTGCTTTACTAAGTAGCTAGACGCGGATTACTCTATAATCGTAATCTACGCAATGTAATCGTAGATGTGTACATCTCAGTAAAGTGCGCATGAATTTGCTTTGCACGGACAGGGAGTAATGTATTCGTTTAATCGCACCTAAGCAGATCTACTATCCCAGAGCTACATATTTTGAAAATCACTAGCATTGTTGATTACTAAAGCTATCCTATTGCTGCCGTTGCCTTGCCACCCTCTTCCATATTCTTTGTCTATAAATTTTTCAAGAAAGCAAAAGGGTTCCCTGTACATCGGATCGCGAACCCAATCATAGGGATCGAGCTGAGAGTCCAGTCCCGTCGGATGTAGGCAGGTAGGTAGCTTCTCCTCAGCGCCCGCTCGGCCCCCAACTGCGGAGGTTCCACATTAGGGTAGCCACTGAGAGCGCGGTAGTACCAAATCATTTATCGCCCGATAGGTCGCCGAGATCTACGTAATTGATAGCCGGAGTACCTCGTTGTTAGTACCTCACTGAAACAACACACCACTTCCGTCTCTCCTTTTCTCGTGTCTGCAACTCTCGTGGAAATTTAAAAGCCACCGGGTATGAGCTCCGCATCTGTTTATTCAAAGGCGGAAATAAATAGGGCTCTTTTCGTTGCCGTTGTCAGGTGAAATATCGTCTTATCTGGTCCATATCTTGCTAGCTAGATACTTAGGTAGGTAGAGCTACCCAACCTATGTAGATACTCAGGTGGATGAAAGCCTCACTATTCAACCATCAAAACCTGACTTGTGTCCATCCCCACTCCATATAGACCTCACTTCCACCATGGCGCCGCATAATATCCAGGACGAGGGCCCAGCAGACCTTGAGAATGAGCCGGCAGGGACCGAGGTCAGGCCGCCGACGCCACCACCCATGTCTGCGAAGCCACCACGGGTGCTCATCATCGGGGCAGGATCACGGGGCCGTGTTTACGGTCGTTGCACCCTCCAGTCGAGCAATGGTGTGGTGGTCACAGTTTGCGAGCCGGATGACTACAAGCGCAACGAATATGTGCGCACCTTCATCTGGACCGATCACAACCGGCCACCACCCAAGGGCTCAAGTTTCGCGGACTGGCGCGACTTCGTGGCCTGGGAAATTCAGCGCCGTGAGCGCGAGGCCGCCGGTGATCCCGACGTGCCTGAAGGCGTCGACGCTGCTTTTGTGTGTGTCCGCGACGAGATGCACCATGAGGTCGTAATGGCCCTCGCCCCGCTCAACCTACACATCATGTGCGAGAAGCCGCTTGCGACGACGCTGGCTGACTGCGTCGACATGTACCGAGCGATGGCTCCCCTGCAAAGCTCCAAAGTCTTCTCGGTTGGCCATGTGCTTCGTTACTCGCCGCACAACATCATGCTACGGAAACTGTTGCTTGAGGACCGTGCCATCGGCGAGGTGCTGAGCATTGTGCATACAGAGCCCGTGGGCTTCTGGCATTTCGCACATTCATATGTGCGCGGAAATTGGCGCAAAGAGTCGGCCACTGCGCCCTCGTTGTTAACCAAGAGCTGCCACGATATGGACATCATCCTGTGGTTGCTATGTTCGCCCGAATCACCTTCCTCTTCTGAACCCCCACACATCCCTTCCGAGATTATGTCTACGGGGTCATTGCAGTTCTTCCGGCGGAGCCGAAAGCCGAAAGCCGCAGGTGCTGCGACGAATTGTCTAAGCTGCCCCGCCGAGCCTGAGTGCATGTACTCGAGCAAGCGGGTATACGAGAGTAAGCGGCATCAGGGGCTCGAAACGGGCAACACACGATGGCCTATGAGTGTAGTGTTACCGGATATCGAGAGCTTCGGAGGTGATATCGAGCAAGCGCGACCTGAGCTACTACGGCGACTGGCCGAGGACTACGATGCATCGACTCCCCAATCAGAGATCGATGCGCGGAACTGGTTTGGGCGGTGTGTGTTCGAGTCCGACAACGATGTGTGTGATGAGCAGGTAGTCACCATACGATGGGATGAGGACCCACTACCCTCCGCGCAGCACGCCTACAAAGACTCCGTAGGAAACCGAGGCGCCAAGCAGGCGACCTTCCACATGATAGCTCAAACGAAACGGCAGTGCCACCGCTTCACGTACGTGTACGGAACTACAGGCGAGATCTACGCCGACTCGCGGACAATCACGGTGGAAGACTTCCGGACCGGAACGCAGCAGTCTTACCACCCGAAGCTGGAGAGTCTAGGCCATGGCGGCGGCGATCACGGCATCACGCGACAGTTTATATTAGCCGTCGACCGCGTCAAGAACCATGGCTGGCCCGCGCCCCGCGCCCAGCGGGAGTTCATCGGCTGCAGCCTCGAGGAGATCATTAGAAGTCATGCCATGGTGTTCGCCGCCGAGGAGGCGCGGACGGGAAAGAAGATTCTCGATTGGAAGAGCTGGTGGGATGAGAAGGTCGGTGCAATCTCAGCGTAGCAGTCCCACGCATTCCCTTAATTATACTTACTCTTGGGGACCCTTATGGTGACCGGCTGCATATGCTATGATATACATACATGGGTTGGAGGTGTTCTGGCGTTAGTATCTCATTCCTCAATAAGAGAAGATTAGCACAGCCAGGTATGATGATTAGATATCCGTATAATTTAATCTGCGTCTAATAGATACAAGTATCTACCATACTACCTCTCATTCTAGATATTCCGACTTGAGCACATGAAGCTAGAGGCTACGATTGAGTCTTCGCTACCGCAAATAAGAAAAATGATTACCTTTGTTAAATATTCAATTGGCTCGCAGCTGAGTATTTTTATTGTGAGCAAGGGGTTCTGGGTAAATCCATCCCGCAACTTCGCTGCAGTACCTCAAAGTAATCCTGCAAGCCTTTCTCGCGTCGCTGTCGGACCGCAAGCTCCTGAGCGATATCCCCGGCCTCGCGGTGCCAGGTCTCAAGTGTCTGCATGTTTTCGAAAATCTGGGAATCGCCGAAACCGCGCCCAGCAAGGGCAGAATCAATAGCCCTCCCAAGTGCGTACCGAGCCAGCGCATGTCGAGGATTATCCTTCATCAAGGAGTCCTCTGCACCACATCGACCTCGGTGGAATTGAGCGATGACACGCCACGAAACCGAGTACGTCCAGTCGTACCGATTGGATACTTCATCCACAAGTTGGAGTGAAGTGTAAGCCAGTTCCGCGGAGTGTTCGTCATGTGGTCCGTTTTGCCATAGATAGGCTGCCGGTCCGATGAATCGAATGAGACTTGACGTATGGCGGTCGCTTTTTGAAGACAGCATTGCCGAAACAGAAGCCACCGCCCTCTGCAGATATGGTAAATTGGACCTTGTCGAGTTGAAGAGAATAAGGTCACCCAACAAGAAAAAGGTCATGGAAGGTGCAATAGTCTGCGCAAGGCCATTCGTCTCGAGCAGCATTCCAAGTATACTCTCCATGCAGCTAAAAATGAAGTCTACTCCGGCCTCTAACGTGTTGCTGCGAAACACCTCGTCTAGCGCTGTGAATAGCCGGCAGAATGTACTTGATGATCCCAAGGTCGCTTCCGCGTACCCAGCGAGGTATTTCCACAGTTCCTTGCCGAGTCCATAGTCGGGAGATATCACACTAGCTATTAATAAGTCGAATAAGCCAAGAGCAGAGGGTGATTTGATAAGAAGATGCAGGGAAGAGAAGGCGCGCTGACTGAGCAGGGCACCGAGCGAGTAGTGGCCCCTAGAGAAGAACCAACATGCTCTGCTAAAGTCTCTTGTAGCCTCACAAAGTTCACCGTCAAAATAAAGATTAAAATTCTCCTCGAAAGATATAGGAGAAACTATCGAGTCCCGCCAACTCAGAGTAAGATCCTTAAAGGATGAAACAAGAATTTCTTGAGCGTGGAGGTGAGACGGCAGGGTCATGTGTTGAGGCTCAGCTGGTGGAGGTGTGAGCGCCCGTAGGTAGCCAGGCAAGTTGGCATCGACGACAGGCGCAACAAGGTCAACACTTGAAATGCCCTTCCGCTTCATGTAGGCTTCAATGTCAACCGACCTTCCATGGCGATTAAAGGCAGTAGGCTTGCCTACAGCGCCTCGCTCGCGCTGCAATCGCAGCATCATTGCCACATCCTTCTTCTTGTTATTCTTCACGAACCCCCATTGCGAGAGCTTTGCTTTGTACATACGAGGACTGTGAGCAATTCAGTACGTGACCTGATATGTAGACTGTTCACTAGTATACTAACGTTGCTTTAAAGCCCTTCTCGTGCATAACTTGCATCAGTTCATGCAGGGATTTGTTTTGGTCAATGTATACATCTTGTATTACTTCCTTGTAACGCTCCCATATCTCCGGCTGAAGATGGTGACGCGTAGGATTCCTATTGCATAGCACTGATTCCGCAGACTGGATGGCGGTGCTAGATGCCGGTTTCTTAGAATAATGCCCATCTGCCCTTGAATCTCTCTTTTTATACTGCGGGATAGTCAAACGCACATACGCAGATGACGGTGGATTTAGATCATGGTTACGGGTAATTATCCCCAGTTGCTCAGATCCGGTGGCGTATTTCTTTAATGAAATCGAAGACCCGTCGGCCGTCATAGCATATTGATCTAGGCCGGTGCTAGAACTGCGGCTCTCGGCTTTCCCGCTATGGCCTGGGGAAGAGCTGTCGGTAAGAACAACATCATAGTCCTCAGGTTCCGATGTCTCGTGCGGTTCATCTAGGTGAGCCGTAAGTCTCAAGTTAGACCCCGCTGGTTGGGAATAGAGATTTGTCCTCGTGTGTGATACATGAACTTGT